AATTAATCATAGCCAACATTTATTGAGTATTTATTACATACTGAGCATTGACACAGCACTTTGCATAGCTTGTCTCATGGGGTCCTCACAACTGCATACTGAGCTGGGTTATTCTTGAATAAGGACATTTGCTCACGGTCACACAGCCAGGATTTGAACCTGGTCCGTCATACCTCAAAGCCCCATGCTCTTAACCACTTATCATCATATATAGCAGCTGAGTTTCAGCCACCTAGATTTGGGTCTTCCTTGGAGACCTGCCCTGAGGCCCGCCTGTCAGGATGGCTGATGTGGTGGTGTTGAAGAGAGAGTTAAACATGAGGTGGAAAAGCCTCCAGGAGGGAGTGGGTTTGGAAAACAAAGCTTAAGTCAGTAGAATCTTGCATAACCATTACAGTAATCATTGTAAAGCAGGTATCACTATATTTTTATTTTATCACATAACTAAATGGTTATGTGATAGAATTTTAAATGCAAAATTGAATTCCTAATCAAATGTATATTATTATATTAATAGCTAATATATTTATTATTGACTGAACATGGACTACATGCCAGCCTCTGTTCGAAGTGGTTGACATATATTATCATCTTATTTAATCCTCCTGACAGATTCATGCTGTGTAGGGCGCATTACTATTCTTATTTAACAAGTGAGTCAGTTGAGGCACAGATCCTTTAAGTAATTCGCCCAAAGTTACACACTCAGTGACTGAGCTGGGATTCCAGTCATGACGCCTTGACTTGGAGCCCAGATTCTTAACCACCATAGAACTTGCTCTTCAGTTATGTTAAGATATGCAAAATAGGTAGAGATGAAACAAGCATCAAGATGGTAGGATTATGGTGATTTTCCTGGCTTTTTTCTCCCAGATAATTTATTTTTTATTTTCCAAGAATACATTATAATAGTGATGAACATCTATTTATTTTCTTTTTTTTTAAAATTGCAGCTGACATTCAATATTATATTAGTCTCAGGTGCACAGCATAATGGTTTGAGATTTATATAACTTACGAAGTGATCCCCCCATAAGTCTAGTGCCCATTTGACACCACACGTACGAGGTCGGACAGTTAAGTTCACCAACATGTTGCAACGATGTTGCTAACCTTTTTTGATATCAGAGGGATTATTCAGTATGAATTTGTACCAACTGGACAAACATTTAACCAAGTTTACTACTTGGAAGTGCTAAAAAGGCTGGTGAAAAAGTTAGGCATCCTGAACTTTTCGCCAACAATTCATGGCTCTTGCATCACAACAATGCACCAGCTCACATGGCACTGCCTGTGAGGGAGTATTTAGCCAGTAAACAAATAACTGTATTGGAACAGCCTGCTTTCTCACCTGATCTGGCCCCCAATGACTTATTTCTTTACACAAAGATAAAGGAAATATTGAAAGGAAGACATTTTGATGACATTCAAGACATCAAGGGTAATATGACAACAGCTCTGATGGCCATTCCAGAAAGAGTTCCAAAATTGCTTTGAAGGGTGGAGTAGGTGCTGGCATTGGTGCATAGCTTCCCAAGGGGAGTACTTCCCAAGGTGACCACAGTGATATTCAGCAATGAGGTATGTAGCACTTTTTCTAAGATGAGTTCTCAAACTTAATGATCTGACCTAGTAGTCATTACACTATTATTGACTATATTCCCTGTGCTGTAACTGTGACCTTTTTCATTTTCTTCCTTCCCTGTTTTATTCTGTTGTATTTTATTTTGAAGTTGCCTATGCACATGCACAGAGTAAGCCAGTGCCACTCAACACAAAGGCAGCGTCCTGGGAGATCCCCGGTAATGCATTGGATGTGCAGTTCCTCAGTTGGCTGCAGCAGCCCTAACTGCTACAATCTTCTGCGGAGGGTGTGTTCCCTTCTATCACACTCTTATCAACACTGAGGATCTTTCTTTAAAAAATGTTTTTCTCCCCTAACTTGTAGGAGAGTCTGTGTTGTACCATGGTTAAGAGCAGCACATTAACTGTATCTGAACCTTGGTGCTGACAGTCTCAGTACCTGGGCAATTTCTCTGAGCCTCAGCTTTGTCCTTGGATAATGGAAATAACAGTACTACTTTCTAGGGCTATTAGGGGAATTAGATTGAGTGGTGTTTGGAATGGACCTAGAGTGCCTGGCACCATGTAAGGTAAATAAAGAAAGGGGTATTTTGATGTTTATACAGCATCTTTTTTATTATTAACCATTGGTATTTCTGCTTTTCTGAATTGCCTGCTTATGCTCTTTCCTCATTTGTCTCTTGGCATCTTGATTTTATAGTGTGTTTGAGTCAAGGACTAAGACCTTTCTGGAAGGGTCTAAATGAAGGGAGGAATGAGGAGTGGAGGTGTTTTTCCCTGTAGCCCGGATGCCTTTCTTTTTCTCCAAGGAGTATTTTTCATGGATTAGTGCAGCCTCCTCTCTTCCTGCAATTGACCGTTTCCTCCCTGAGAAATTTTCATCTGCTTTAAACAGTCAATCTTTAGAATAGCTGATTCCTCCCTGGACTGCTACACCCACAGGTCTCACACGCATGATTTCTTTCTCCCTCCATTTCAGTTGTATTCTGTCAGAATGGCCACGGCCATAACGGGTCTGCTGTGAGAGGCTCTATTTCAGTAGCACACCCAGCTAGCAAAGATGCCCCACCTCAACCTTGTATGATCACACAGGACACAAATAGCTGACCTTCCTGAGCAAAGGGCAAACGCCTAACAGACCCCTTAGATCAAAGGCACATTCTTAAGATAGTTCCATCTCTTCTTTTTTTTTTTTTTTTGCCTACCACCCATTGTGTCTGACTTGGACAATCCACATCTTTTCCATCATGGGGCAGAAGGGGCAGAAATTGGGGATTTCTAAATTGCAAAAGGAATCAAACCTCCTCTTAGCCAAATGATTCCTGCCAGAAAAGTTATTGTGGATAAATGTGTTTGGTCCAGAGAGTTTGGTGGTAACATGAAGTTGGCTACTGATCTTAAGACATATGTCTGAGTGAGGCATACGGTGGGGATATGCCGGTATCCCAGGCATGGCAAGGGCCAGAGGCCGTGGAGGGAATCCCCCAAAGAAGCACAGACTTTCCTAGAGGAAATTGATGGGGTTTCTCATGAAGACCTTCCCTCCATGTGAGGTCCCTTCTGCTTGGACAGCACCAGCATTGAAGCTTACATCCTGGTATTCGTGTGTCTCCTGCATTCTCCTGTATGCCCAGTTCAGTCTGTGTGGTTTAGAGAAGAGGGTATGAGGTTGGGGGACAGAAAATCTGGGCTTGAGTTGAGGCTTTGCCTTTTTTTTTTTAGCTTGGTAACCTTGGGAGCAAACTTTGTTACCTCATCTGGAAAATAGAGGGTAACATTCCCTGTGCTGGTCACCTCCTTGCTTGACCATGGACTTAAATGAGTGTACTGGGTAAGTTAGAAAAGACACAAAAGACAGGAGAATCTCTCCTCTTAGAGACATAGGCAGTCAGCAGAGTGTCTGCCTCAGCATCTCTGCTGCAGGACCCAGAAAACTGGATCCACTACTTCTCTCCAGAAAGCGGTCTAAAGAAAGTGTGTGTGTGTGTGTGTGTGTGTGTGTTGTCTTTTTTTTTCTTCTGGGTCTTCTGTCTTGGCGTCTGAGCCAAGCCGATCAGTGGCGCTGCTGGGGGGCTGGTATTTCCTTCTCTCACTCTACCATATTTTTTAATCTGACAAAGCCTACTGTAAAAGCAGAGGTGCTCCCTTGGTACTTAAGAGAGTGTCTGGAGAGGTCACCTGAGTTTTAGAGCCATTGGTATTGTGGATAAGTTCAGTTTCACAAACTTTGTGGAGCATCTAGCCCATGATTCTGGGTCAGGGAGACAGACACAGAGGTGGCAATTAGTGTGATACATGCTGCAGGAGAGGGCGGACTGGGGCAGTGGAAGCAGGAATCCTGGCCATTACACTTAGAGGGGATCCTGAGAGGAGCTTAAAGGACAGGTGGGAACTGGCCAGTATTCCTGAAAGAACGTTGGGTCTTAGAGAAAGGCACAGCTCTTGAAGTACGCCTCTCACCTCTTTATTTGGGATAAGCAAGCTATTTGGGAAAAGAATTTCGGGACAGGAAAAGAGAATGCTTATCTTCGTCACCTAGGTAATTCAGAGGGACAGAATGGGTGGCTGGAAGGTCATGGGACCTGGTCAAATGGAGAGCGTTCTTTTACTCAGCTTCCTAGTAAAAATGTCATATGTCTCCAGCCATACTCTAGCCAGTTTGGAGGAGACAGTCAATGATCATCTTAAATTTATCAGTGAGGGAGTTTGCTCTTCAGTATATTTTTTCATGTAGTCTCAGAATTCAAGGTATATTTCTGATTTTTTTTAAAATTCTGATGCTCAGTCAACACAGAAAAATACTTTTAGCAGTTGAGAAAAGTGAATATTGGTGTTCCATAACCTTGTCCATCACATCATCCCATGTCCTTTGATAAAGCCTGTCAACCTCTCTCTTGAGCAAGATGCTCTAGAATCTTCTAAAGAAAGTAAGAAATGTGATCCAGTATGGTAGGAAGAACCTGGAGTCTTACCCCAGGAATCTTCATGTTCATCCAGACTATCGTCTCTCATTTTCTTCAGTGGCACAGTGGGGTGCTCACCCCTGTCTGGCTGCCTTAAGCTGGCGTGAGGATAAGTGGGACCCGGGATGTGAAGTGCTTTCCGAGTGTACTTGGTCTGGCTGCAGGCAGCATTTCAGGGTGACACTCCGCTCTGGCATCAATTTCAATGTGGGTTAGACAGGAATCTGCCCTAGCCTTTGAAAGCACATCTTGACAGGTAGTATCTGTGAAGGTCAGAGCTGCTTCGACATGTCTTACTGACGGAGCTTGATTTCCTAGGACAGCCTCATTAAGCTACAGCTATGGAGGGTCAAACGTACTAGGTCCCTGTAAATCTGAGCCTGCATACGGGAGCCCAAAGATCTCCTGACCCCTTTTCTGACTGCACCCACCCCCTCCCTGTATCTCCTTCAGGTCCAGTAGTGGTACTGGGTTTGGAGAGCCTGGAGCCTCTGTGCCCACACCTCATACCCGCCTCTGCTCCAAAGAGCTGAGTCTGCAGTGGGCTGGCTGAGACTCTTCACAGCGCCTGCCTGGGACACTGAGACCTTCCTCCTCTGCGGCTGCCTTCTCCCGGCTCCTGCACCCGCCCCTCTGAAGTCACTGGTCGGCTGTGCTGCAGTTGGAAACCCTGCCCGGAGCTGGATCCTTACAGTAGGTACTTCTTTGCTTTTCTCTTTCTGTCAGAATTGGGTGCGTTTCAGCACTTGGGGCAGCTGACTGGTAGAGAGTCAGGAAGCAGATGTCAGTCTGGCCCCAGGGACTCACTGGCCATTATTTCTGTGTCCTGCTCTGCCACACAGACTTCCAGTCACTGAAGGACCAAGGTAGCTAGAGTTCCTGGGGTTGCTCACAGAAGCTTTACACATTTGTGGGACCCTAGGAGGTCAGTGGGGGAGGAAGTTCCCAAAGCAGAGCCAGGAAGGAGATGCGTTACTGGGCTGGTTTCCACTCCTAAGGAAGCTGTGTCCTCATTAGGAGTAACTTTATTAATGAGCCACAGCAGCTGCAGGGAGGAAGGAGGAAAGACATAATTAATTATGGCCTCCAGATGAGCACCTAGATTTGGGGGAGTCAGGGGAGGAAAGTGTGTGCTATTTCGATGTCTTTAGATGTGTCCTTCTGAAGTGATATCAGCTCTAAGAACTAACTTTCCAGCCAAAAGATTTGAGCTTTCTTCCTCTTTTGGCAAGTATCAGCTCATTGAGCATTGAATTCCTCCCTGAATCCTCGCCCCTCTTCCTGGGAGTGAAAAGGAAGTCAGTATTTGCTTTTCCAGCAAGGTCACAGATCACCTGACCAAATCCTTTAACAGCTGGGAAGCCAATACTGCTGTGCTGAACTCACGGCCAATCAGCTCCGGTCCAGCAGCCCAAACCTCGCTTTCTGGGAGGAGACGACTCCTCTTGCTCCAGGCTATGACAGGGGGAGGATGTCAAGGAAAGGTAATGTGACCATGGCTTTCCTTGTGACAGTTTTCTCTTCTTTATGAAGCTCTCGATTTCAGCTGCTGCAATGCAGGCAAAAATGACAGACACTCACAAAAAAATGTAGGAATGGAGTTAATGAGATTGTGTTAATATGTCATTTATTGAGCATAAGTTATCTCTTTGTTTCCTGGGTTGGTAGGAAGTGAGCCAGCCGGCTGGAGAACTCAGTTGGCAGAATCTTTTACAGGAGTGCATCTCACCTCCCCCGGTGTCTGGGCTGCAGCCCTTTCAATGGTAAGCAGAGCTGTCGGATGTCTCCTGCTTCTTAGCACAGGGGACATTTACACTTGGAGGCTCTGGGGCCTGGAATGGGAAACGCGAAGCTCCCATCATTTTGGCAGGATCAGTATGAGGTATTGGTGATTTTTTTCTCTTTCGGAAAGAGAGCTTTGCCTTTGTAAGTGGTCGAGCATGGATTGACAGGGTCGCTGTTCGGTTTGCTACTTTGCTAAATATTTGACTTTGTAAGGTTCAATTCTCCAAGAATTCTCATGGCAATAAGGCTGTGCTTTGAGCCAAGCTTTCTTTTCAAGGAAATCCAAGGTGCTATTTATTTTGGCACGCAGCCTGTTCTGGGATGAAATACAGCATTTTTATTATTAGAATAAAGAGAGGTTTGAAGAGAACAAAAGTACAGAACTAGGTTTCAGTTTCACGACAAAGTAAAGGAAGGTTTCTTTGAATTTGGATCTGAAGTTAAAAATGAAATTGAAATGGCATCATAAAAGGAGTAAATGTGGAGAAGGAGAGGGTGTGAGTATATACTGCAGGAGTTGGGTCAAACCGGGAAAATCTATGCTCCCAGGCATGGACCCTGCCGGAACCATTTCTAAAGTAGCCTGGTTGTTACACATGGGGCTGTCACTTCTGTCTGCCGGGACTGCCTCTTTGGTGAATTTTGAAGGGGCAGCCTCGGTCTCCACCTCTTCACTGCCCACTGGCTTTGAGAGGCAGTGTGGAGTCATGGAATCACACAAAGTCCCCTGCCCCTGATTAACTGGGTAACTGCATGGCCCACATAACCTCTCTGTGCCTTTGTTTCCTCATATGTAACTTGGAGATGATACCCTGAACTCAGTGTCTGCCACATGTTAAGATACTAGGGTGGAGAGTGGGGAGAGACAGAAGTGTGACCTGTAGGAATTCTGCCCTTCACAAGCTTACAGATGTGTAGGGGAGGAGAGCTAGAGAGAGATAAAGCTATGTATACTCAAACCATCCAGAGTAATGAACCAATGAGAGAGGTTGAAATCTAATTTGGCATCCTTGATCCTGGGATAGGCCATAAACAAATGAAAAGTTACATAACAACACCAGGTGTTACAAGGCTCTGAACACTGGGGTATACCTTAATAGAACAAGTCATAAATTGTTTTTATGTCAAAATTTTAAATGTTCCAGAGGGTTATAAAATTCCATTTTAAAGGGAAATTCTGTCCAACAAAGTTATTTTTCATATTCTGTTGTATTGCAAAATAGCATGTGTTGATGTGGTAATTATTCCTCACTTCCACTCACTTAACCACATCAAACATCTACCCACTCAAAGAAATCCCCCTTAGCTAAATTCCAAGATGTCTGCCACAAGGGTCATGTGCCAAAGTGGAGAAGCCTGGGGTGGGTGGGGACTGGAAGTAGCATGATGTGGGCATGACAGCTCCCTCTTTTT